CTTCTCCTTCTTTCTTTTTTTTTTTTTTTTAAGGCAAGCTTTTCCCTTTCACAACCTCTTTTTTTTATCAGCAAACAAAATGAATTCAGAGGAATTGTAATAATTACCAGAATTATATATAAAAAAAAATAAACTAAGAATAGAAAATATGAACAAAAATGGAATACCCTCATTATGACGTTTACTTTATTAATATGAAACGAGATAAATACTTCCATTGACACATCACGTTACTTTTCCTCTCTCCTTTTTTTTTAAGTAGTAAAATTCTTCTTGCCCTTCCTGTAGTCAAACTAATCAAAACAAAAAAAATGCATATTTCTATTCGCCTTATACTACTGACGCAAAATAACAGTATGAACAAAATTAATTCGGCTATCCCGTATGAAGTATATATATAAGTGCAATATTCTCTTCTATTGTAATGGAACAAGAATTTTTTAAGAATTTTTTAACGCTGGACTGGCAATTGCAGCAACCTCTTCGGTGGAGATCTTCCTATTGTGGCAGGTGAAATTGAGGCACCCAATCGAACAACCGGTCGCGAGCTCTGGCCGGACGCTCGGAAGCCAGTCAGCGTACAAAAATATCAATAAAATTGAAATTCAATATTTTAATTTTTTAAATATATTACCTTATAGAAAATTAAAAGGCGCATCTTTTTTTCCTTTAACTTTTTTTTGCATCTTTTTTTCTTAATAAGAAATTAAGTTATTACGTAGCAAACGCACGCCAAACGTTCAGCCGCTCGCGCAACTTTAAAGTTTAAACATTCACCATTTTGTTATTAATTGTTCAATTGCATTGTAACTTTCCAGAAAACTTCTTTAGACCTTAATGAACAACTTTCTTACTGGAAGTTTGTTGCTGGTGAAAATTTACGAAAATTCCTCACAGGGTGAAAATTGCAGTTCATGAATTTTGCAATGTCTCATTAAAAAATTAATAACTTTTTTATTTTTAATCAAAACAACTTTTTTCTTTTTTTAGTCACTCGTAGAATATAATAACACGTATTTTCGTTTTTGTTTCATTAAGAAATTCGTAAAATTGTCTGAGCTGTCGCGAGTTGAAGTCAAAAAAACAATTAAAATTTTCTTTTTTTAAAAAACAGTTTTTCTCTTATATTTCGAAAACGGAAAAAGATGGAAAATTTCTTATTAAGAAAAAAAGATGCAAAAAAAGTTAAAGGAAAAAAAGATGGGCCTTTTAATTTTCTATAAGGTAATATATTTAAAAAATTAAAATTTTGAATTTCAATTTTATTGACATTTTCGTACGCTGACTGGCTTCCGAGCGTCTGGCCCGAGCTCGCGACCGGTTGTTCGATTGGGTGCCTCAATTGTTATCGTTGTTGGTGTTGTCTCTTGTTGACACTCCTTAGAACAAAGAGTGATGGAGTCCCTTTCCTTGGATAACTTACTTGAACCGCATTTTTCTTCCGTTGTTGTTTTAATTACAAAACCAGATGTTGCCTCATGGTTTTCAGTGTCCAATATCACGTCGAGTCATCTGATCTTCATGGGAGAATTTTCTTCAAATGTTGCAGGCTTTATCTCACTCCTTGAGGTGGATGCGGAGTGAGAGGGCGCCGGCGCCTCGGAGGGTGATCTTCTAGATTTTTGAGAGGTTTCAATCTCTTCATAAGGTTGGATTGAGTTCTCTCGGGGTTTGGATGTAGAAAATTCTTTCCTTAGTGTGGATATTTTGATTTTCTCGGATCTTGATCTTTTGCATATTAAAGTAGTCAAGATACTGGTCAAATTCCTCAGTGTCAACCGGAGAATGTACAAAAGCAAAAACACGCATAGAAGAACAAGTCCCAGATAGGATCCATAAACGAGGTAGGATTGTTTCCCTCTTAACTGTCGTTGGAAAGCAAGTCCGTGCAGTTGCTGTTCCAAATCGTCCAATGTTTTAGAGTTAGCTTCGAACGAAAACAATTTTGATTCCAGGCCTAATTCTTGATTAATTTAAATTGTTGATTCCTTCAGGATGTGGTGATACTTCGATAGAGAGGGTGACAATTCTGTAAGATTTAGGTGCAGTTCAGACTCATATATCACCTCAGATTGTCCTGTTGGAAACGTGGATGCTGGAATTATGACATCCTTTGCCTTGATCGAGCATCCGGGCGCCAATTTTAGAATTCCGGTGCCACTCAGGGAAATCTTAATTGGGTCAACGGAGTGGCACACGACTGTCAATGTTTCAGCAGTTGCCAGCGAATAAATCCACCCAGCCAAGGTTGTTAGTGGCTTCCAATAGGACTCCAAGCTGATAGTTATGCGGACATTACAGAGTTTTAACGCTTCGAGAGTTGGACTGATCAGGAGCAGGGCTTCACACGATGATCGAAGTTGGAATTCGTAGATCGGAGCTCCCTTTAAACAGGCATGGTAAGCTGCGGTGGATTTCCAGAGCTCCCATTCTTCTTCCTTTAGCAACAGATAGGTCCGCAGATCCTCATCTACTATCAGGTAGTCATAATTTGATTTTATATATGCTCTTCCAGTGCCGTTACTGAGCACATCCTTAGTAATCGGGAGTGAATGTATTTTGTATGCCTGATAATTATATTTTTCCAGGAGTAGAACGTCAATCAGGACCTTTAATTGGGAGTTCTCGCACAGGATGGTAACAGTTGAGATTCGCATCAGTTCATCGATGCTGATTCGTGGTCCTTGAATGGGAAAAGTAACGTCCTTTAAATTATCTTGTATTTCTCGTAGGATGGGCTCCAGTTGTTCTGATGTAAAAAGGCCTGGGTGTAGCTGACCTTGCCTGGCCTCATACACTGCATGAAGCATAGTCGTTGTTGCTCGGATGCTATGGTCGAGACTAAACTTTAACGTTCTTGCTAGGGCGTATGTAAGGTTTCTTCGCTGCATATTGGCTTTCGAGTTGGGACCTTCCTGGTCATTGGTGAGCATTGCTTGAAGATACATCTGCATTTTCTTTACTAATGAACCATGCTGCTGGATCTGGGAGTGCAGCGAGTCAAGCTGGGACCTGACCACGTGTGTTTGTTGACCAGCCAAGTGCGAGAGATTTGCTTGGGCCTCATTAAGGTCCTTTATTGCAGTATCGTATCGTTCTGCATCATCATACGTCAGCATTCCAGCAACAGGTCCAGCAATCTTCCCGAGAAACCCGAGCAAGGGCACAGCTCTGCGCAGTCGCAATTGTGAGGACATCTTCCTAGGTGAGGTTCTTTTAGTATTTTCTAGTTCTTCGATCTGGGTTTGGAACTGATTTTGAAGTTCCGAGGCCATTTCCCATCTGTCCTCCCATTCAAAGACTCCTACTAATTCTTCACACCACTGCTCGTTAGGTCTACACTGTTTCTTCAATTTCTCCAGTCTGGATTTCAAGTCATCAAAAAATCTGCATTGTTTGCCAATGTCCAGGAAGACGGTCCAGGTCTTAGTTATACCCTTGTGGCCTCCAATCAAACTAGCGTGAAATTCAGAAATGATTTTAGGACGTAACTCTATAGGGGGTACTTCAATTTTTCCGTGGCATAAGGTGATGGTTACGTCGCCACCGCGGAAAATTCCTGTTACAAGTTCTGACATTTTACTTTGGGGCAGAGCGCCCAGCAGGTCTCCAGTATTTGCCATTCGATAAGATCTTTGTTTGTCATTTTCGAGGGCGATTTTTAGATTATTCAGTCCCGTGATCACATTATTCCAGTTTACTTCGTCAAAGTGGCGTTGTTTCACGATGATGGAATAAACTTTATATTTACCGCAGGGGGTAACGTAAATCTGTCCCTTGGTTGGCTTCTGATCGCGAATATCCCGGAGGTCAATTTTTTCAGTAGCCATCAAAAGCTTAGAGATTGAGTCCACGGGCTCACAGTCTTCTTAAATGAAGTGGGCATAATTGTCACGTTTGTATGTTAGGGGTTCAGTCCATTTATTTATTATGACTAAACGAGGTTTGTCGTCAACTGAGGTTGTTGGTACCTTTGGCACCTTCTCCTCGTCACTCGAGGATTCAGTGGAGGAAAGAGGGGACGGGGGATCACAATAGGGAACCTTAATGTCTATGAATGAACTGATAAGAGGCGCGCACTTCACACTATTTTCACTATCTTTTGGTTGAATTCGACGCGGCACTACATCGGTTCTCTTTTTGTGTCCGAATTGTCTTTGTTCTTCCTCGTTAACCCGTAAATTAGTAAATGGAGTAGATTGAGCTCTGGGACCATCTTGAGGTCCTGGTGTGAAGAGTTGAACTTTAGATGAACCATCTAGATCTTTTTCATCCTGCTCAAATATTTCGGGAATATCCTTAAATCGAACAACACTTCTTTTCTCGAATGTTGAGGGTCGGGCGGAGACCGGGGTGTTATTTGTTGATTCTGGAAAAATATTTGGCGAGGTTTTTCGTGAAGGAGGAGATTCCTTGCTTCCAGATTGATTTCTCTTACGGCTGCGGTTAAAATTGTCCAAGAATGCTACAACTCGTGCAGGGAGCCCATCTTCAAAGCCAGTCGCGGGATCTAGCGACTTGAGATATTCTAAATGTTCCTGATCCTCTTCTCCGTCGGAAACATGCTGTTTCCTGGGACTGCAATCTAACCTTTCGTAATCCCAAAATAAGGTGTTGTTGGTGAGCTCAGGGGAGTTGAGTCCTAAACTGGCAACAGTAGTATCGAACTTTTTAATCGATTTTTCCACATCGTCAATCATTTGCTCTTTTTCCGTCAGAGGTCCCATCGGTTGAAGTTCAACTTGGCTTTCTGTGTCTTCATCACTGCTCGTTAGACGTCGCTCTACTTCAATGATGATATTTTCGGGGGGTAGCTGTTCCTCTGATTCTGAGGATGATGCAGAACTTGGTTTTGGTTCCATTAATGTTCCCTCTCGAGCCAGGCGATCGGCGTTTTCGTTTCCAGTGATGCCATCATGGCCTGGAACATGCTCCCAGAGGACATCGAGGGGTCCTATGGCGTTGATCAGTCGTTCGTAAGCCTTTCGATTTCTTACTGATTAATTTTCAGCGGTTTTCCAGCCATTTTGATGCCACCGTGGTATCCAATTCCTTACACTATGAACGAGATATTGCGAGTCAGTTTTAATTCTTAACCTCTGGATTTCTGCCTTTCTTGCTTGACGTGCGGCCACAGCGGCTGCTTCGATTTCTGATGCATTATTCGTTTGTCGTCCCTTATATCGCTTGGAGACGTTGAGTGGGTTATCAGGTCCAAACCATACTCCAATTCCAGCCCTTGGACTTGTTCCACCATTCTCGCCACATGCACCGTCCACGTAGACGTCCGTATAGGTTTCAGGAATTAATAGAGAGCAAGAAATTGGATTTTGACCTTGAGGGGAGGTAACCATTGAAATAGTAGATCGGATTGGTTCAGGGTCTGGGGGTAAATGTGGAAAAACGCTGTGATCCTTTCTGAAGGCCAGAGGGTCGGAGTCACTGTCGTCTTCAGCTGATGCTTCATTTGTTGAGGATGAAGGATCACTTGATAGGTGAGCAACGCTAGGTCCTTTTCTGGGCCTTAAACGTTCTGCAATGCAGCTTTTATCAGCATCAGTTATTATCGATCTTGCCGGAGGAGCGTAAGGTTGATCATAACATAGCTCCTTGGACTTTGTTGTCCCTTTAGGTCTTCCTCTTGGTCTAGGGGGTCCTTTTACATCGGGAAAGGTGCGGGCAGAGGCAGCATCTGGGACGGGGTACTTTATGCCGGTCAATTCAGCACTAGGGCTTGGTAATGCGTCTGTTGGCCTTCTTAATAGAGTCATTTTTATTTCTGCAGGACGGTTAATGTTTGATGTACTCGCTAATCCCCCTAGTTTCGCTGTCCATTGTGAAGGGGTATCTGATCCTTTTTTGTTCTTAGTACGGGTGGCGGGGGCCTTCAGTATAGATCTGTGAGGAAGATTTGAATCCACCCTAGATTTAACCGACCTTAGCCCTTCCTTTAAACTACCCTTCCTCTTCTTCTGTTGGGAAGGGGCAGGAGGTTCTTGAGGGTCTTTTGGGTTCTTCACTGGGTCTTCTTGGCTTATTTGAAAACTACTTGCCTTAGGTGGCCTAGAAGAGGAGCGTGTTTTTATAGGAAAAGCGCGGTAGTTTTCCGAGGGTCCCTCGGTTAGTTCCTTATTGTCATCAGTGTCCTTAGGGGTTTTGGTCATTGGGTCTGATGTATCAGAAGTCAAAGAGGACGTGTCAGACCAGTCAGACTCTTGGCTGTTCCTTGAGGTTTTGTCCCTATCTGCAGGGTTGGTTGATAAGGCTTCAACAATTCGGTTTATTTTTCCCGGTTTATACTCGAACTTATATTGATAATTCTGCAGGCGGATTCTCCATCTTTGAATCCGAGGTCCAGGATTATCAATGTAAGTCATCTAGTGAACGGGTTCAAAAATACAAGCTAAAACAAACTCGCGGCCGTATAGATATGGTCTAAAATGTTCTACAGCATACAAAATCACGAGACATTCCCTTTCAGGCTTAGGATACTTTTGTTCGTTCGCGTTTAATATTTTCGAGTAATATGCAACCGGAAGGTCAATCCCGTCCTTTACTTGTGTCAACATTGCACCGACAGCGTGTTCGGATGCATCGCACGTTAACTTAAATTTTGCGTTAAAATCTGGATATTGGAGGATGGGTTCGCGGCAAAGGTACTTTCTTAGTCGAGAAAAAATTTTCCTTTGCGATTTTCCCCAATTCCAGGGGGCGTCCTTTTTTTATAGTTTGGTTAGAGGTTTGGCCCATTTTGCGTAGTTTTTTATAAATCGTCGGTAATATCCCGACAGTCCTAGGAAACATTTGATGTCCCTAGGGGATGTTGGCGTAGGGAAATTCTTTATTGCAATTATTTTGCTAGGGTTGGGTTTCACGCCTTCTTCACTTATAACATGGCCGAGGTAAGCAACTTCAGTTTTCAAGAACTCGCATTTATCAGGCTGAAGTTTTAGGTTTGCCGCTCGTAGTCGATTAAAAAGGCGTCTGGCTCGTCTATCATGTTCTTCCAAGGTATTCGAATAAGTAATGATGTCGTCCAAGTACACGAATGCTTCTACGTCAAGCATTGTACTCAGAACGCCATTAAGTAATCGTTGGAAGGCGCGGGCGAACTTGATCTAGGGGGTGTTCCGCTTGCTTTATACTCCTGATTCTGTCTAGGATAGGGCAAATGCTGCTGGTACTATACTGGAGGATATTGAGGATTCGGGACTGGAATTTGTTGTGGTGGAGGGGATTGGTACGAAATTGGTGTGGGCAATTGATACATCATAGACCGGTAAAATTGGGCCAATTCTTCAGGGGTCAGCTGCAACGTGTTAGGGATGGCACTACGAGTTTTATTTGAAAGGGTTTCCTCTCGGTCCGATTCTACTCGACGTTTCTCCGTGTTGCTGGATTTTTCCACCTGCCGCGAATAAGGGCTGACTGAGCGCGCTCGATCTTCTACTCGGGTGATATGGTATGACGATGCCCTAGATTATTCGGAATATCTTTGTCTTTCTTCGGCACGGATCGCGTGTTTAAGGGCTTCTTCTATGTTGACTGGATTTCGTGGGAGCAAAACGTTTGTTTAAATGATCGACTAACGTGCTTACTCTGTTAAATTGCTTATCCCTGCAACTTTCTCGAGCAGCCCCTTTTAATTTGCTAAACACGGCTTTAACAAATGCGGGCTCAGTCGCCTCCGTTATAAAAACGGCCCCATTCAGAATGTCCTGAATAAATTCTTTTAGGGGAGGATTTCTTCCGTCAAAATTGGGAATATGATATGTGCTATGTTGTAGGGTTAGACATTCCAAGACGGAGGTCATGGCCGCGCGCGTGTCATGATTAATTGCCTGCTGTTGAATAGAAACATTGGGGTTAAGACCCGCTCCCATCCCAGCCCTGCCAATGGGAGGATCGTTACCTTCATCTTCATCCATTCTGATTGCTCTCAAAAGTTATTTCTTAGATTAAGAAAAGGTGCAGTAGATGTGCATAAAAAGAAAAAAAATAGAGAACAAGGGAGAAGAAGAAAATAAAATTAGATAGACAGATTTTCCTTTCTTCTTTGTCTAAAATAACTTTGCGGGAGATTACTGTATGTATATTATCTCCACCGCGGAAAATTCCTATACCTTGATCGGCGCGACCGTTGATTGTTACTAGCTGGGGTAATTCGTTTCGCTATTATTTAACAGCGAATAATCGAGACAAAATCGACCTTCCTGGTTCTTAGACAATTTCTTCAAAGGTGTCAGAAAGGGAGAAATCGATTCAAAACTCAGACTTTCTAGTTCTGAGATATATGCCTGTAGCTGAAGAAATCTGTCGCTTTCAAATCGAATTAGCCGAAAATAGAAGTCTAATTCTCGTTCTACCTTGTCCAATCGTCTTTGTAACTGGAAATTCCTCACCCGTAATTCTAGACTGTCTATAGTGAGAGACTGGAAAAAATTACTAACTCTTACTATCTCCTCTTGTGTGTCGTCAAAAATTACATTCTTCCAGTCAGGAGACATTTATAAATTATGTCTTAATCTAATGTCAGTCGATTGAGTTCATCTGTCAAAGTTGTAATAATGTCTTGTTGCTCAGACAGTTTTTCCTTTAAGGTTTTGATTTTCACAAAAAATCCGGAATTAGAATCGGTAAGGGTAGCCAACCATTGGGCCAAGAATTTGGTTCGTACTTCTAATTGCTCAGCCTTGCAGCGCAGAGCCAGGTGATAAATGTAAAGGTTTTGATGGAATGTCTCTAGATTTTCTGCTCTTTCAGATAATTCTAAGTAACGCTCTAGAGGGCAACCCGTTACAACCCTAACCGTTCGAGGAAACATTTGGAATCATAGAAATAGACAAGCATACCTTATTCTGTGGATGTTTGTCTAGGACAAAATGTATCTACTAGAATAATATTTTCTTTGGAATTGTCAAAATGGGGAAGTTGACAGTTTCGATTCTTCTGGTTCGAAGAGTGCTCTTGATTGTTGGCGTTATGATATTAGCTGATTCTATAAGAGTCAACGGGAGTTTTCATAGCTCGTCTTGCGTCAGAATTTCAAAATCGGATATTGGGAATTTGGGATTATATTTCACAATATATTCCATTCTTTCCATTTTCAGGATGCATTTTTAGAAAAATAAGAAATCGTTTCTCTTTCTCTTCTTTTTTATATATTTAAAAAGTAAAATTTACTGATTGAAAAGAAATTTTCCTATGGAAATTTCTATGTAGGATTAGTATGATCTTGGACAGAAATCCCTAATTCCAAAATACTTTTTATTCCAAGAATTCCTGGAGTCACGCAACAATTCTCAGAGAAAGAAGATTGCACCACGTGGAAACAGATTTCGGTTTCTTCGATAGCGAGGTACACAACGCCTAAAATTTCGGCATACTCGTTGTTTATGCAATCTCCTGACGGAAACCCTAGAATAAGACAGTCTTGCGCAAGTGTTGATTGACAGATGTAGCTATATTTTGTACATGGGCTAATTGGAATTTCTAGATTGCAGTGAACTAGTTTTTCTGAACTTACAGTAATTGTTTGTGAATTGTTATTGTATCTAGAAATTGCCATCGTAACAACGCTATAATAAAGGAAAAGAAATAACCTTGGTTAACAGATGTTCATAGCATCGACAGTTTTCCAAATACTTTTGAAAGAGGGAAGTTGACTGTTTCAATGCTTTTAACGAGAAGAAATGACCCAGGTTTTCGGTTGACGATATCTGCAGATCTTAGTAGGGTCAATGAGAGTTTTTTCAATTGCTTTTGGCTTACTAGATCTACGTTCATAAGCGGATACTTCGGGTTATACGTTACAAAGTAATGTGCGTTCGTTTGTTCGTTCGTTGCGCGTTGTCTGTTTATACGCCTTACTGAGTTTTTTTAGTCGGGAATGAAAGGTTTCACGAAATTGTCGTCTTTTTTAATAGGTGTTACTTTCGTTATCTGAACAGCTTGATTTTGAGGGTTGGGGTTTTTCGAGCCCTTTTCCTTTCTAGCTCTACCCTTCCTTCGTGATTTTTTTCCCCTTTTTCGAAGGTTATTTGGCATAGCGATTTTTCATTATGACAAAGAACCCAGAAACAAGTAGAGTCGTATCGATTTTTGTTGCAAAACGGTTTTGCTGCCAATAAGGGTGAATTCTCGGAGCCGTGTCTTCCTGCGAACAAATCGCAGAGCCTCGTCTACCAGTAGTTTTCACCAATCGACATTAAGAATTCTATATCTGATTGCACTCAGTCCGAAATTCTCTCAAAACCGCTTGCAATTAAATCAAATAAGAGCACTTGAGAAAGAAAACTCAGATAATTTCAAAACTAGATAATGAAATTCTTCATCTCGGCAACATGTGCTTTCCAAATTCCTTAGTGAGTTTTCGGAGCCGTGTCTTCCAGCGAACAATTCGCGGAGCCTCGTCTACCAGTACTCTTCACAAAGAAATTGAAATAGCTGAATCAACAAAAAAAGAAAACTATCTCTCTTTTTCGTGTTAGATATCCACTCCTTGTCGATCAGAAGAATTCGAAGTCGTTAAGGATAGCTAGTGTTCAATTTTCTGAACAATCGGATCTCCGTGCCGATATTTGGGTTGCGTTTCAAACCTTATGGTGAATTCACGGAGCCGTGTCTGCCGATGGGCGAATCACGGAGCCTCGTCTACCAGTGTTTTCACCAAAAGCTCGAGTAGTAGGTCTAAGTAAACTAGACCTTACTAGTCATTCCCACTATTGACAGCGGAAAATTGATTGCTTTAATGAGAGACAATTAAAATAGTATCTGAGACAGCTAAGAATACAAAACGTAAACAACCATAACTGCTAGTAGAAACAAGAAAAGAAAGCTCTGATATGATGATACATATGATACTAATCATTGTGCTGTAAACATTGTTACCCCCACAGCAGCCAATCTTTACTAAAAATTTCGTAAAGATTTTCTTGAAATCTTGGGAATATTTAATTGAAAAGTTTAATGAAAATTGCATAAAGATTTAAATGTCCCACCAAAATAAATATTTGGCGTAAAAGTTGACTAAAAATTTAAATGAAATTTTCAGGAAATGTTCGTCGCGAAAATTGAGTAAAAATTTAAATGAAATTTTTATGAAATGTTTGTCGCAAAAATTGAGTAAAAGTTTCAATGAAATTTTCAGGAAATGTTCGTCGCGAAAATTGAGTAAAGATTTAAATGAAATTTTCAGGAAATGTTCGTAGCAAAAATTTAAATGAAATTTTCAGGAAATGTTGGACGGAAATATCTGTAAAAAATACAAAAATAATATTAATAATAATAATAATAATAATAATAAATAGATAGATAGATCTTTATTATTATTATCAATAAAAAAAATTTACTATCTGGGAATAAAAATAAAATAAAT